TGCTAAATGGACGAAAATCGGTAGTGTACTTTATACTGGGTTCCAGACTACCTAGTTCTAAAAAAGTTGATAATATGTATTCTTAGACAAACAAACATAAAAACAAAGTAAAAACAAATTAAAACAAGAAAGAAAACAGATAAAGAAGAAAATGGAAGTTGGAAGGAAAAACAAATCCCAAGTTTTTCGTCGGACGTAACTGAAGATCTGTCGTTATTCTTTTTTACTTTGGTTGGTATATCTTAAGACTACTTCCTTTACCATCTTGGCTGTCTTTCTTGACTTGTATCTCAGTGGCGGATCCAGGGGGAGGGTCCGGGGGGATCCGGACCCCCTCTAACAGACCTGACGCTAACAACTTTGAAATTGAAATTCTTACATCGATAGGATCGTATATCACTTTTTAACTAGCTGATCTTTTTAATGAATCCAAGCAAACGGTAAGCGACCAAGGAATTATAACGTGCAACCGCGACTGGTGGGAGGGGATGTGTGTGTGGGGGAGAAATAACTTGCCTCAAAAGAGTCCAACAGTCCTTTCTGAACCAAAGTTTGGACCCCCCCCCAATAAAAAATTATTGGATCCGCCCCTGTATCTTATCACTTCTTTAGTATTTTTCTACCTTAATGAACTTTTATTATCCTGCCGAAACTTTTTGACAAAATTCTCAGTGGATCAGGCAGTTATCAGTTACGTTTTGTTCTGCATAAATTACGTAATGGCCTATTTTTAAGAGGAATCCATGCAATATTTAGCCGGAATTATATTTGGACTTTAAAGACATTACGTAGAAATATCTTCGAGGTTCACGTTATGATCTTGAGGTATTGCAATTAAATTTTCAAATAACGTTTTTCTTTACATTATACTCTTGTCGTTCTTTTAGCTTGCAAATAATAATTGTTCTCACTACCAGATAACATAAGCAATTCTTCTTACTGTGTGTCGTACGATTCTCCATTTCAAAAACGAGTGGGGAAGTGGGTCGAGAAACAAATCAAAGAATTGTGTCTCGAGTAACGATCCCAGACAAACTTGCGCGGCGAACTCGACCCACTCCCCCACTCGTTTTTGAAATGGAGAATTCTCATGATTTTGGTTCAGAGAAAATTGTATTAGATCCACAAATAAATCGCTGATTAATACTTTTTTCTTTATTCTCATCACTTGTCTGCTCGATGTTGTAAATATATGATGAGGAGAAATTTTCTGTCTTGGTCTTTCATAAGAGGTACCAGAGGGTATACAGGGTAAGAGGTTTTGCGTTGTGTACCCTACTATTTCAGAACGAAGTAGTGATTTACTGTATTTTATCCGAAACCGCAGAAACTCATAAAACTGACTCAGAGACAATTACGGATGACTTTATAAGCTAGTCTTGACCTGTTGATTTTCCGTCTGATTGTCCGTTTAGCACAAGGAACAGGCGCGGCGGTGTGCGCACTCCGATCGCAGTGCATTGTGGTAGCTTTAACTTCAATATGGCGGTAAAAGCAGCAGAAATCGGCTGGTTTTGATTAAGCATTCCGTAAAAGTTAGGCCGTTTCTGTTTCCTTTCACTATCGGTAATTATAATTTCATATATTCTGAATGTGTAGAAGTATTTTTCGCACTTATTTGTCGCGTATTCTATCGTTCTCAAGAACAAACGCAAGCACTGTTTTTCAGCATGTAATTTGAGACCAGTTTTCGAGAAGGTCAAATTTGATGTACGTCGTAGTTTGAAGCCTTTCAAAGATTTCTATGGCCACTTTGATCCTTATTCAACAACTCTGACTAAACGCGCTCAATGCGCTGCAACGGTCCAAATCTTTTATACATCTTAAGTGGTGGTGTTTGAGACCCTTTTATAGAGCGAAAAGACCTATAGTTGCGTTTAGTGTGTTGCGTTACAAAGGGTTATTACTGCAAAGACATTTATTATATGTACTCAATCGTGTTGTAAATCTATAATCCTAAGTGAAGGAAAATTAACTTATTGCGAGTGTTGTGTTTTAGTCTTTCGAAACTATCAGCCTTTATTCCCTGTTAAATAACTCGCGTCTAAAAATATAAATTCTTACTTTTAAATTTATTCATCCTGCCATCGGTTGTGAGTGTAACTGTTGCCAATGATTTGTGTCGAGATTCTTTTGGCAGATTACAGTTTCGAATCTTTCTCAATAACGTCAGTTGCCTCCTAAGAACGAATTCGTCACGGAAGAACGACGGGAGTCGCGCAGGCCCGTCAAACCTTTTAACCTTCGAAGGAACGGCAACAGACAGTGGTCTCCACCAACCAAAGATGCAAGATGCAAATGACTCAATTTTTGTTAGACGACCATGAAGCAACGCGGTACAAGGATGAAGTCAAGGTTACCCCGCAGCGGGGGCTTGGAAGAAACGCAACTTCTGTTTCCGAACAACATGGCGACGATTGGTACTGTGTTCTTCTGGTCAGCAATCTCGATTGCAGCTTTACTTGCGATCCTCTTCTCGGTCTTTTCGATTTACATGATTTACCTCCATTGGAAGTTCAGTCATTTACCTGGGCCAAACAGGGACAGCTTTTTCTCCGGTAATTTGCCTCATATCAAGCGCGAGTTGGCGAAAGGACACATTTTTCCCGAATTGGTCATCGAACTCAACCGAATTCACGGTCCAATAATTCTCCTATGGATTTTTCATAAGCCAATCACATTCGTGTCAGATCCAGAACTCATCCGAAAATGTTTAATCACGCTTAACCTACCGAAAAATCCGTTTGGATACATAAACCTCGGATACCCNACTGTCTTTTAATTGTCAAAAAGCTGTCCACACAGCATACAAAGTATGGGGTTTTATGAAAATCACGACAAGGAATCTTTTTCCTGGCTGCTCTGTAGGACAGAGTGGTGAATGAAAATTTCAGAAGATTGAATTGATGAATAAGTCAACTGATTTCTGTTTCAAAGGCTGCTCCCCTCAACCTAACCAACAGGTTTCAAAAAGTACTGCACGTGACTGGTGCTAAATTAGTTTGGTTTAGCCTAGATGCATACAGCAGCATTTATAAGCAGTTCAACACAGGTACCTCAGGTTGCTCCATATTCCAGATTTTTTAGCTGCATTGGGCACTTTTCCAAGCTGAAACAGCCTCTAAAAGGTGATGCACATAATATTTCTAAGGCTTAACAAACATTTTCTTAAAACCAAACACAGGTTGCATTCAATGTTGATCTTGAAGCAGTCCAAAACACCAACAGTCCATTCCCATTAGATATTTTCAAATCTCTCAAAGGGATGCGAGACTGTTTTCAGATGCCATTTTGAAGGATATCTGTGACAACATTTCCTTATCAAAGGAGTGTGATTGAAGCAGGCAAATTTGTACGCGATTTTGGAAGGAAGGTAATTCTTGAACGTCAAGAAGCTATGTTACGAGGGGAAGATACACCTCCTGATATCCATGCACATATCTTGGGTGTCAAAGCAAAGGAGCCAAGTATTACAATGGAAGATATGGTGGATGAGTTTTTCACATTTTTCATTGCAGGTGGGTGAATAGTTACCTTGATTATCCACTGGTTAACCTAAATATAAGTATTCATGTTCTCCATACTTTTTGTTACATTTCCTGTGGGAAATGGGAAGGGAATGACCAAGGGAATTAGCTTCCAAAAACTCATCAAATGAGTGACCATCTCGTATAGTCTTAATAACTTAGCATTTGATTCAGGGATGATACAGTCAGACAATTCAGATGCCAGATATTCCTATGGGATTCTGGGGATTAAAGGATAAAAGTTCACATAGAAATTATATCAATCCAAGGGGAATGAACAGCCCATCTTAAAGATAACAGACAAGGTCTGTACTTAAGGCAAGTTGTCCATCCAGCTAAAGATTGTCCCGGTTTCCCTTGAATGGAGCAATTAGTAGTATCGCTACTCCCCCTTGGATGGAATGCTAGTCCATGCAACCATGCCAATCTATAACCCCACCCCCTCCTCCCTTAGTATTTGGTCAGGCTTCCTTTACAATTAGCCATTACCCATTTATATTCTTAAGTGGAGAGAGGTATGGTGAGAGTGAAGTATTTTGCTCAAGAACACAAACCGACCTGAAGTCCAACGCCCTAACCATCAGGCAACTGGGTTGCCCTTGCCTGAATGATAAATTAATAAGGGAACCATAAGGCCCAAACAAAATTTGAAAATATTTGGCTCTTTGCATTTACTGATAGCATCACTTAAAGCATTCCACATTTTGGAAGCATTTTCAGGAAAGCCACTTATGGGCGATATAGGAGGGGGGGGCATTGGAGCCTATTAGAAACCGCAAAACCGTAGAAAAAATCATCCAAAACCGAAAAACCGAAATAAAAATCGATCAAAACCGAAAACCGCATCCAAAACCGTCAAAACCGATACATTTTCACATCCCAATAATTAAAACCCAGATCGATCCGATACAGTGGTGACAAAGGGAGCATACAAAGTAAAGTACACCAATTTCATTACAGCATTTGGAACAGACGCTCGTGGTAATTAGTCGTGATCTTCCTCACCGATCGCGAATTTCCAATTTATCATGGGTGTAGATATCACGTATTCTAAGTGTATACGGACTGTAAGTCTTCTTTAAGTCTGTATCGTCCTAAACGAGCAAGGTGTATGCACAGCGCGGAAATTGGGAGCGCCGAGGGCGCCCCAAACTAGGGAGCTCTGGGAGTATGCTACCCCAGAAAATTTTGAAATTTAGGGTCTTGGAAATGCCATTTCGAACTATTTCCGCGGAACTTTTTTGTAATTAAATGCGACGGAAAATGCAGTGGTTAGTTGTTTATTTTACCCATCTCTAGAGTTTTAAAGCTAAAAGGGTTGGTTGCTTCCTAAACTATCTAGAGAGTTAACAAGTTTGAGAAACCAAAGACAGTTTCTTGTCGTTTATGGATTAATGAAAAGGCACTGGAAAAACAAACACACACGCTAGTATAATCCGAAATTTAAAATAGGTCCTATTTTATGGTAGCTATGACAAATGCTATGAGGGAATAAAAAAATTTATATGTATTTCCAGATTTCAGCTATACGTACGGGTGTAGCGCGTATATGGACGCTACGCCCCTCTATAGGATAGAGCGATTAAGCTATTGTAATGTAAATAATGACATTGGTATGATTGACTTACCAAACACTGTTTTTATGCTTGTGCAAGCTTCTCTCTTCCTCTTTTACTTTGCATCTAAACTTGTTTTTCTTTCTGAAATTCTTGCCGCCTTTCCCCTCTTCGTAAAAAACGCAATGCACAATTGCTTCTTAAGGTCCTTGACCTTCTTCCGTTACCGGCGCGTATGGCACGATGGAAGACATGCTCGCAAACTGATCGACCTTGACCTAAATGCTCTACATTGCAAGGTCAAAGTCCTGGGCGTCATTCAAGACGCGTGAACCCCCTGGGGATCCCTGCGATTTATCACACATTCCTCTCAATAACATTTGCGTTTAGCGGCTATTTGAGATCGATGGAGGCGTGTGATTGCCGCTCAGATCAAAAAGAAACCGAAACCCAAATAGGTCAAATATGAAAATTGAAAACCGCACCGGATATCAAATAGGAAAACCCGTTAGTATTTTTCGCGAAAACCGAAAGCCACATGCATAAAAACGGAAAATCCGCAAACCACAGTGAATACCAAAACCGAAAAACCGACATTTTTAAGCACAAAAACCGCAAAACCGATCTTAACAATAGCCAAAACCGCAAAACCGAAAACCCCAATGGCCCCCTCCTACAGCAGTTTGAGTTGAGTCTCTGTCCTGGTCAAGATGAGATAAGATACGTGGAGAATTTGACCCTGAGGCCTAAAGGGGGATTGCTTTGTACACTCAAACGAAGGCACGAAACCTAGATTAAAAGGGAGCCAAAGAAATCCCAACTGTTTTAAAGAGCAACATGCACATATAATACAACATAGGTAGAAAAACAGTTTAAAAACCTTAATAGAGAGGGAGGTCTTCAGTTACAAAGTCAAATTGAGCTTTTTTTGATGCCATTTCTTCATGTATTTTCTCCAGCATTTTGTACTCTGACAATTCTCTATTCTTCATTCACTGAGACTTTCTTACATGTTTCTTTTTTTTTTCTCATTTTTGCTCAGCTATACTGATTCGTCTATCAGCTATTATAGTGTTATCCCCACAAGAATGAAAGCTAAGTGACAACAGGGAAACACAGTAGCAAAAAGCTCCACTAGCTAGGGAACATTTCATTGTGGCTCCCTGGTTTTACACACAAGTTTTACTCTCCTCTATCTTTTAAATGGACAGTGCCTTGAGGAAAGAATTATTGGTGGTTAAGCCTTAGCACAATAATTGCATTTTGAAAGAAATTTCCCAACCATAACTGTTCACTCAAGTTCAACTCAGTAACAAAACCCTCTCATTCCTGTGCTTTCAACACTCACCAAACCTGTACCTCGAGGATTACCCACCCTCTACCCCAAGGGTCATCCACTCACTACCCCAAAAGTAACCCACTGTCTACCGCAGAGAATTTTATTTTAATTGTAGCAGGAGGCAATTCTGAGTATTGATCAGGCACCACAGCTAGTGAAATTCAGCTTAAAAAAGCCCCTTGGACAGCATGTTATCCCAGAAGTAATTGAAATGTACAGGGTGTCAAGCGAGTCCTATATTCCTATAAAATCATATTTTTTCAGACTTGTCCTATAAACTCCTGTAGATTGAGGAAAAAACCTACATTTTCCTATATTTTAAGCCTTTTTTCATAAAATATTTAAAAAGAAATATTTAGAAAAAAGAAGTAAACATTGTATTGGCGTTCAAAATCCACAATCCAGGAGATTTTTAGCGGTTTTTTAATTTTTTAATTTTTAATTATAGACTAGTGACCAGCACTTCTGCGAAAAGTAGTTGTAAAACTTGTTGTATTTTCCTATGCGTTTCGTCTAACTGTCGTAGACTTCTTCAGGGAGTTTTACAAGTGTGACTAAACGCCTGTATTTATAAGCCAAAGTTACAGGGGCCGATGACCGTAAAGGCTTGGCCGGACTAAATTTCTCACAAATTTTTCACAACTTCGCCTGTTCCTAGGCGACAGAAAGAAATGGATCCTTTAAAGGTCAAGAATGTGTCACTCTTTGAAAAGGAAACAGCCCTTAACGAAAGAGAGAAGCTAAGAGAAAAGCTGGAAGGAGTTGGCCAGCTCCTTATTGACGGAAACAGCAAGCTGAAGAGTTCAGTCAAAGGCAGTGATAGAGTTGGCATAAGTGCAGCGGAAATAATGATATAAACTGCTTCAGGGTTATCACAGAAGCTTAACTTAATGTAGAGATGTCTGAGATAAGAGGGAAGCAGAGAAATGTCGAGTGTCAAAAGCGGAAGCTAATTGAAAAAAGCTCAGGGGAAGTTTCAGTTCCTACGAAGAAGGCCAGGGTGTGTCGGCCTCGGTACCAAAGCAAGCATCAAAGAAGAAGAGCGAGAAGAAATCTAACGTCAATAAGACAACCACAGCGACCTAAAAGCCGTGGTAATGGCCTTGCTCACGAAAGAATTTCCAAATGCTTCAGCTTAACTTGTAATACCGTGAGTTCATTCAGAACAGTGACTTGTGTTGCGTTATTTGGCCTTATTTGTTGTAACCTAAGTGTTTTTGCATCACATCAATTTCCTTGCTTGTTACTTGCATTCACATAAGTGTCAATACTGAGTTTTGGACTCAAACCAGTTGATATTGTCAACCATTGTTGAACTGAAAGGGATTTCAGATTGCTCTTGTTATTGATCTCACACGCCAAAGAAGTTATTGTCAGTAAGATGACGTTATGATTCCAGAAAAAAACTGATTGTTATTTTTGACTTGGAAAGACATGTTTGAAACCAACAAAGCATCTTTCTTTTCTTGACTTTGTATTTGGTAACATATTAAATCCGTACATCTAGAGTGTCTAAAAGGTAAAGAACTTTAGATTGGTTCTATAAGTTGCTGTCAGATTGGTCGTATATTTTTGCCGTTTTGGCGGGCTTTGTCCTATATTTTTAGGTCGTCGAGTCCTATATTCCTATATTTTTGGACCCCTAAAGCCCTTGACACCCTGAATGTAACTTATCCTATACTCCATACAGTATTCAGCAAACAGGTATTGTGAATGCTCCAACATAAAAAAAAAAAATATTTGTAACTAGTAAAATAGTAAAAGAAAACTATATTTCCCCTTTGTTACTCTACTTTTAGCCAAACAAAACAACCATAACTATGCAATGTCATATGAAAAAATGCGTCATGACGTCAGGCCAAATATTAATACCGTAAAAACCCGAAGGTAAGTCGCATCCGCAAATAAGCCACACCCTGATTTAGCAGCTCAAATTCTGGAAAAAGTTTTTTCGAAGAAATTTTAAAGAAATCTAAAGTCGAGTCTTGAGAAGCCTTCATCCACTGTTCTTCGAAAGTGAACTCACTATTAACATTGCAAAGGAAAATAATTCAGTCTTACCCAAAATTTTAGCACTTTAATATAATGAACATCGTTTCTACCAACTTTGACACATGAGTGATTTTTTACTGGTGTTTATTGACAGGAATTTCTTCATTTAACACAGTTTTTCCATAGATTTTTGCATCTTACAACAGCAACGTGAGTAATACATTCGAAGCTTAGTAACCAGGCATTAGGTCGGACGCGTTACACCTTTTCCAAATGTTCCCGCAAATAAGCCACACCCCCTAATTTCTAGCGACGATTTTTGGAAAAAAGGTGCGGCTTATCCGGGGGGTTTTACGGTATTTTCCGGTCCGGCCCTCGCACACAGTCAAAAAGTACATCTTACGTATCACAGAAGTCAGTAGAGCCATTGGTCAGATGCTTCCAGAACTGCAGTTGTAGCTTCTGCTGCATTCTGTCGACATCATTCGCCTTAGGGAGTGAATGAGTTGCCAGACGAACAAAATTAGCATATTGAGTGTTTCTTTGTTTTGGATCAAATTATCCCGTAAACCGGAACAGAAGGGAAGTAGTAACGGCGACAACCACAAGCGTACCAAAACAACAAAACATTATCCGCATAGGACGAATCATACGGAAAACAGCAATTCTGTAAATTTATCAAAGTACAAAGCATTCTTCCGTCGTCGATAGAGGTTGTAATACGTCGATAGAGTCGACAGAGGTTGTAATATGGGAATTATTCGACCAAAGGACCCAACGGCACGACAACAGCCGCTTAAGGTTACTTTCCACCTTCAGAGGCCAAAAAAATCGCTTTTTCTTTTATTGGACTAGAGTGAAGTTGGACATTTTACTAACGTTTACAAAAAAGAAAAATTTAAAAATCTCAAAATTAAAAGCTTCTGACTTATTTAGGAAAACGTATTTTCAAAGAATAGTTGATAAAGCAGGAAGGTATCATAATCTCGTAAATGGGCGAACCTCTGGGGGAATATTAGCGGGAATTTCATGTTATTTGCATATTTTGTTTACATCGCGCACTTGACAAAATTCACACGTGGACGTTCTCTGCTAATGGAAAGTCTTTTCTCATGGAAAAAAATCATAAATCAAAATTAAAGAGGAGTCCTTGGGCAAAGAAAAAGGAAAAAAACAGGCCCAAAGGAGAGAGAAATGGCACAGGAACAAAAGAACAGTGGTGGCAACTCCTCTCCACGCTGGCATCCAATACTACTAATAATATTAATGATAATAATAAACGAATATTTATCCCGGATAGCCCTTCAGTACCAAGTACTGTTATCAACGGGGTCCTGCTGTTAAAAAAATATTTAATATAATTATAACAAAAATAAGACTAAACAAAAATATTTAAGACATGCACTAGCCTAAAACCGTTAAAAACTACAATAAAAATCACAAGTAAAAATCGTCCAGGGCTTTCTTAAATAAAACTTTGGAATTAATGTTTCTCAAACGTAATGGCAATTAATTAATTGTATAGTGGTTTAGTTGGATTTGCTTTTGAACTTCATATATTCATTGTATACATACGTTAGTTGACCACTCCCCATGGCGGCTTTTCAGGGCCAATTCCCACCCATCCCACCCCAGGGGAAGACATCCACGACACAGTAATCTCGAGCGTGGGAAATTAACGTCTCCTACCCCTAACCTGCGGTTTATTCGTCCTTATCCGAGAAGACTAGAATATCTATCCGTTTCTTGAATATAGAAAGGTAGCAAATTCTCCTCACTTATTTTAAGACCCCCGGCCGGGGCTCGAACCCTAGACCTCCCGCACAACACAATCCGGGGCTCTAACCAACTGAGCTAACCGGGAGGCGGTTAGCTCAAGGTCTCACAAGGACTGAGACCTCCCGCTCGGTTAATAAGAACTATTATTATATGGCTGTGTCTCACAAGGACTGGGAACTACCGAATTCACGAATTTGATTGGCTGAAGTCAATATTGAAAGCGGTCTAGATTTTCCCATCTAGACCGGCATCTAGACCGGTCCAGAAAAAAAAGGTACAAAGAATATAAAAAATTGGCATATAAGATGCACAGCCATATAATAAACATCTTATTAACCGAGTTAGGTCGGTCTGTATGAGAGAATCTTGACCTCGGTCGCTGGTTCAGACCTCACTGCGTTCGGTCTGTACTGGCGATCTCGGTCAAGATTCTCCCATACAGACCTTCCGCTCGGTTAATAAGAACTAAAAAATCTTGACCTAAGTCGCCAGTACAGACCGAACGCAGTGAGGTCCGTACCAGCGACCGAGGTCAAGATTCTCCGACAGACCGTCCTGGCTCGGTTAATATAATAAGATGTTTATCATATGGCTGTGTCTTATATGCTAATTTTTTATATTCTTTATACCCTTTTTTTCTAGACCGGTCTAGTCTAGATGGGAAAATATAGACCGCTTTCAATATTGATTTCAGCCAATCAAATTCGTGACTTCGGTCGCTCCCAGTCCTTGTGAGACACAGCCATATAATAAAGCTATTTTACTGCTGACCAGCTCGTCGCCGGTGATGTAGAGGAAGTTAGTTGAGTTTTAAAAACTTTCCTGTGTCGAAACAACATGGCGACAATTGCTACTGTGTTGTTTTGGTTAGCGATCTCGATTGCAGCTTTGCTTGCCATCCTCTTCTCGGTCTTTTCGATTTACGTGATTTACCTCCATAGGAAGTTCAGTCATTTACCTGGGCCAAAAAGGGACAGCTTTTTCTTTGGTAATTTGCCTTATATCAAGCGCGAGTTGGCGAAAGGACATATTTTTCCCGAATTGGTCATCGAACTCAACCGAATTCACGGTCCAATAATTCTCCTATGGATTTTTCATAAGCCATTCACATTCGTGTCAGATCCAGAACTCATCCGAAAATGTTTAATCACGCTTAAACTACCGAAAAATCCGTTTGGATACATAAACCTCGGATACCCTTTTGGTTATCGTATGATGGGGCATGGGTTAGTAACCCAAGTGGACCATGACGCGTGGCAGAAGCGAAGAGCACTGTTGAATCCAGCATTCCATCGACGATACTTGATGAATTTGATGAATACGTTTAACGAAAGCTGCGACTTATTTCTGGAAAAGTTGGATAACATGGCTGACGGAAGAACTATAGTGGACATGTCGGATGAGTTTGCACGAGTTACTCTAGATGTCATCGGAAAAGTGGGTAATTTATATAATATATGTGCGTGCAGAAGGAATTGAAAAGGTTTCCATAGAACCTTATTCTATTCTTAACTTAAGTCTTATGCCTAAATGCAGTTTACTGTTTTAACCATGACTCTCTTTTACTATTGTCAAAGAACTGTTCACAGAGTATATAAAGTATGGGGTTTTAAGGAGATTATGGCAAGGAATTTTTTTCCTGGCTGCTCTGAAGGACATAGTGGTGAATGTAAATTGCAGAAGATTGAATTGATGAATGAGTCAACTGATTCCTGTTTCAAAGGGTGCTCCCCTCTACCTAACCAACGAGCTCCAAAAAGTACTGCGGGTGACTGGTGCTCGAATCAGTTTGGTTCAACATAGATGCACAGAGCAGCATAAACAGTTACCTGAGATTGCTCCATATTCCAAATTTTTGATCTGCATTGGGCAATTTTCCAAGCTGAAACAACCTCCAAAAGATTATGCACATAATATTTCTAAGGCTTAACAAACATTTTCTTAAAACCAAACACAGGTTGCATTCAATGTTGATCTTGAAGCAGTCAAAGATGCCAACAGTCCATTCACATCATCTATTTCCAAATCACTTAAAGGAATGCAAGACTGTTTTCGGATGCCGTTTTGGAGGATATCTGTGACAACATTTCCTTATCAAAGGAGTGTGATTGAAGCCGGTAAATTCATACGTGATTTTGGAAGGAAGGTAATTCTCGAACGTCAAGAAGCTATGTTACGAGGAGAAGATACGCCTCCTGATATCCTTGCCCATATCTTGGGTGTCAAAGCAAAGGAGCCAAGTATTACAATTGAAGATATGGTGGATGAGTTTTTCACATTTTTCATCGCAGGTGGGTGAATAGTTACCTTCATTATCCACTGGTTAACGTAAATATAAGTAATCATATTCTCCATACTTTTTGTTACATTTCCTATGGTTGTGACCAAGGGAATTAGCTTTCAAAAACTGGTGAAATAAGTGACCATCTCCTATAGTCTCAATACCTTAGCATTCGATTCAGAGGTGACACAGTCAGACAATTCAGATGCTAGATATTCCTATGGGATCCTGGGTATTAAAGGATAAATGTGCACGTAGAAATTATATCAATCCAAGGGGAATGAACAGCTCATCTTAAAGATAACAGACAAGGTCTGTGCTTGAGGTAATTGGCCCATCCAGCCAAAGATTGACCTAGTTTCCCTTGAATGAAGCAATTAGTAGTATTGCTACTCCCCCCTGGATGGAATGCTAGTCCATGACCTGGAGTCCAACACACTAACCATTAGGCCACTGGGTTTCCCTTGCTTTAATGATAATAAATTATAATAAGGGAACTGTAAGCCCAAACAAAATTTGAAAATTTTTGGCTGTTTGCATTTACTGATAGCATCACTTAAAACATGCTACATTTTGGAACATTTTCAGGAAAGCCAGGTATGGCCACGTAGCTCTGAAGGTGATGGGATTGAACCTATAAGAAACATATTATCCCACATTAGTAATAATTATTCATTTGACAGTGTGCACATCTTTTTTATAATGAATAGTGCCTTAATGATACATGTAGGTCAGGAAACTACATCCAACCAGTTGTCATTTACTCTCCATGATCTGCTGAGGCATCCAGATATTGAAGACAGGTATGAGGTAGTAAGTTATAACTGTGCATTTTGCATTGTCAGTGCACAGTCTGCTGTATAGCCTTACCTACAGAGGTGCTCTTGAAGTACTTTAGACATAATTAAAATAGATATGTTATATGGAGTAAAAGTGGCTGGCCTGGACCATAAAAAAGCCTCAAAACCTGATTTTTAGCATAGTTATCATGAGTCATCTTTTTGTTATATCCAGTGTCAGGTGTATTTCACCTTTCGCTCCGACGAAGGGCTAACGCTCGAAACGTCAGCTTTTGTAATCATTACGGTGGCCAATTTACCATTTCAACTTTGTTGATATATCCAAAAGTATTTCAGCAATGTTGCTTTCCCAGAAAGTCCAAAAATTACAAAACCATTTGAAGTGGTATAATTAACAACTTTTTACTCAAATGTGGGGGGGGGGGGGGGGAGGAATTACTCTTTTAGTATATACTAAAACAGTGAGATAACATAGCACAAAAGGATGAGTTAAACTCAATTATTCCTGCAACAATTACAATTATATTTTTTGGTGCAATCCAGATTGGGTTGTAAGAGGTGAATAGCAAAGGATATTAGGAGTTTCAGTAGCCAATTAGCGTGTGTCTTCAATGCTATCCACTGTTTTAGTGACATATACATCTAAAACATACTGCTGAATATTCACTGATTGTCACCTGCCTAGTAAAGTGTGAAATCAGTTTTAATTTCTTTTTTTTGTAGAGTAAATCAAGAGATTAGGGCTGTTCTTGGTTCACGTCAGTTTGTTGAATATAAAGATCTTGGAAACTTCCAGTTCTTAGGACAGACGCTCAAGGAAGGATTACGACTCCATCCCCCTGCTGGGGGAACAAACCGAATAACTGCAAAAGATGAAGACATTGGTGGCTATATCTTCCCTGCTGGCACTACTGTAAATCTAAGTAATTTTGTAATGCACCGACACCCAGACTCATGGAGAGAACCACATAAATTTGATCCTGACAGATTCTCGCCTGAGGTCAAAGATGAAATTCCACAATCTGTGTACTTCCCATTCTCCCTTGGCCCACGCACTTGTATTGGACAAACCTTTGCTCAGTTTGAGGCCCGTGTGTTTATGGCGAGACTTCTACAGCAGTTTGAATTGAGTCTCTGTCCTGGTCAAGATGAGATAAGATATGAGGAGTATTTGACCCTGAGGCCAAAAGGGGGTTTGCTCTGTACACTCAAACAAAGGCATGAAACCTAGATTAAAAGAGAGTCAAAGAAATTTCAAGTGTTTTTAAATGAAGGAGCAACATGCACATATAATACAACAGAGGTAGAAAAACAGTTTTATAACCTGAATAGAAAGGGGGGGGGGTCTTCATTTACGAAGTCAAATTTAACTTTGTTTGATGCCACTTCTTCATGTCTTTACTCCAGCATTTTGTACTCAATTCTTCATTGATTGAGACTTTTGTACTACATGTTTCTTTTTTTTTCTCATTCTTGTTTAGCTATGTTAGTCTCTCAGCCATTATGGCATAATGCCCACAGGAATGAAAGCTTAGTTACAACAGGGAAATGCAACAGTAAAAACCTCCACTCGCTAGGGAACATTTCATTGTAGCTCCTTGGTTTTACACACAAGTGTCACTCTCTCATTTAAATGGAATGCCTTGAAGAAAGAATTATTGGTGGTTAAGCCTCATCATAATCATTGCATTTTCAAATAAATTTGCTCAACCATAACTGTTCACTCAAATTCAACTGTTAACAAAACCCTCTCATTCCTGTGGTTTCAACACTCACCAAACCTGTACCCCAAGGGTTACCCACCCACTACTCCAAGGGTTACCCACTCACTACCCCAAGGGTGACCCACCCACTACCCCAAGGGTAGCTCACTGTCTACCCCACGGGACTTCAATTTTGATTGTAGTAGAAGGTAATTCTGCGTCTTGATCAGGCACCACAGCTAATGAAATTCAGCTTCAAAAAGCCTCTTGGACAGGATGTTATCCCAGAAGTGATTGAAATGGTAACTTCTCCCTATAATATCCCATACAGTATTCAGCAAACAGGTAATGAGAATGCACAAACATAAAAATCTTTGTAACTAGTAAACTAGTAAAAGAAAATTATATTTCCCCTTTGTTACCCTACCTATAGACAGAGAAAACAACCATAACTATGCAATGTCGTATGACAAAATACGTCATGACCTCAGGCCAAATACGGTATTTTCCCGTCTGGCCCTCCCACTCAGTAAAAAAAGTACATATTACGTATCACAGAAGTCATTGGAGCCATCATACATTGGTTGACTGCTTCCAATACCGCAGTTGTAGCTTCTGCTGCATTCTGTCGATATCATTCGCCTCAGGGAGTGAATGAGTTGCCAGACGAACAAAATTAGCATATTGAGTGTTTCTATGTTTTGGATCAAATTTCTCCGTAGAATGGAACAGAAGGGAAGTAGTAACGGAGACAACCACGGGAGAACTAAAACAAAAAAAAACATCCACATAGGACGAATCATGCGGAAAAAACAATTCTGTGTATTTATCAGAGTACAAACCATCCTTTCGTCGTCGATAGAGGTTGTAATACGTCGATAGAGTCGACAGAGGTTGTAATACGGGAATTATTCGACCAAAGGACCCAACGGCACGAAAACGGCCGCTTTCACTGAAACCCTGAAAACTTTTAGCCATGAGCTCATCGCATTCCTGCGCGTTAAAATTCTGAAAGTAACGACAACACAGCTCCACGAGGAACAACAAACAGAAAATATACCCACCATCTTCTCGGTTGCATTTTCAACTCTAAATTCTTTATTAGTCTGTACTACACATTGTCTATCCTTCTAAAGACAGCCCGTGTGGTTCCGCTTCCAACCCCTATTTTTTCTCAGTTTTCCTTTTCCATCTAGAATTTTCTCAGAATTATTCCACGCGTAAGATTTCAGGAGAAAGTTAAACCAACGCGTTCTGGTTTCAACAAACATTAATTTTATTACCATTCTTAGGAGTATCCACTTTTTGACGTCATAGGGTGTAACGACAGGAAGTTGGAACGGTTTATAAATCTAAATATTTCAGTCTCTGAAGAGGTCAGAACTTATTATCGCTTTCGAAATCACGCTCAGTAACGTGCGCCTGTTTTAATCATAGTCGGAGAGTAAGCTGTGGCTCGTAATCTGCGTAAAGAAACATGCCATCGACGACTGTGGTTACCTTGAACTCTTTCACAAGAATCGTTGTTTTATTTTTTTGCCTAGCTACTCTGCAACTTCCTTCGATACAAAGTACTTTTAGTGAGGATGGTGTTGAGAAGTATGTTATTACTAGAAGAGAAAGGAACGATAGCGACGTATTCAAGGTTATTTACAAAAGTAGTCACAAGTGTCCTGAAGACGTTTGTGAAAACTCCTCTGCTTGGGTGAACAACATCGCTCCATGCAGCTGTTCATGTAGAGCCAACACTGCTACTTTCCTCCCGCAATTAGGAAGTTGTGGTGATCTAGCAAGTGTAAAGAAATCTCTGTTTGGAAGTAAGTAAGAATCATTTTATAATAAATGAAGGAAGAAAGTGAATGTTTTTCATAGGGCGGATACTGCCATCTGACAGATACGTGTTAAAAAGCTTACTGCGATATCCACTGGATAGAGATATATATGCATATATATATAGATATTTTTGTATGCGAGGGAAACCCTGACCCTGTACACCCCAAGTAATCATACTTAAATAGAATAAATGTTTGAAAAGAAAATTTGCCCTGAGCGGGATTTGAACCCACGTCCCTCCTGTTACTAGTCAGGTGTGATGACCACTACACTATCAGGACAACCATGCTGACAACACGGCAATCAAAGACTTGCCAGCATGGTTGTCCTGATAGTGTAGTGGTCATCACCTGTTTAGTAATAGGGGGACGTGGGTTCAAATCCCGCTCAGGGCAAATTTTCTTTTCAAAAATTTATTCTATTTATGTATATATATATATATATATATTGTATTGCTGTAATTAAAGGCTGATAATCTTCGCTCCCTTCGCTCCGACGAAGGGCTAACGCTCGAAACGTCAGCTTTTGTAATCATTACGGTGGCTAATTTACCATTTCAACTTTGTTTATATATCCAAATTATTGCTGTAATTGTTTGTTAAGTTCAGGTTTGATCTTATTTATATAAAAAGCTTCTTTGAGTTTTAAATCAATTGAGTTGTTAGCAGAATCCAGAATACTAAAGCAAGA